TACACTGCAAGAGTGACACTTATCATGCATGTATGCACCCGCCAACCACCTCACTTACTCTAATAAAATTTTGCCTATAAATACAGAGCCTCACATACTTCTATTGCATCCACAATCGTCTCACTCTCTGCTACAAACTCTTTCATAATCTCAGACAATTTCAAACTCTTTCACAATCTCAGACAATTTCAACAATGGCTCTTCTCACAATGGGCAATTCTCACAGAGGCACAAGGGACAATATTGCAGCGTTTGTAAGTTTCTTGTATACTTATACATTTTTCATACTTCTGTTAATGCTTTATTCATCTTATGGACTCTTACACTTTTTACATTCTTAACTTAGGATACTAAAAGATTCAGAATCCGGTCACATAACTACCTTGCTCCCGACCCGTTGATCGCACCCTATCTCGAATACGTAGGTTTCGGAAACGTTATAAAGATCTCCAACTGCACGATTGATTCAAAGTTCATACTTACAATGTTGGAAAGGTGGAGACCAGAGACCCATACATTTCATCTATCAATAGGTGAATGTACCGTCACACTAGAGGATGTGGACATGTTATTGGATTTCCCTATCAACTGTAAGGCGGTTAATGGGTCAGTTCAACATCTCAATTCTCTGTGTGAAGAATTGCTGGGTAGGAATATGGTTGAAGGTGGTGGTGCGAGAGGTCAGAGTATACTACTTACTGAGCTCAAAAATCATTATGCGACTCTGGAATTGAACGAAAATTCCTCTGAGCTTAGCTAAGGTAATAAAAGCTAGAAATTATATAATGATATTATTTGGAACCTTTTTATTTTCCGAAAGTACGGGAAATAGTGTAAATTTTATGTATTTAAATTTACTTAGAGACTTTGAAAAAACTAGAAAGTATAGTTGGGGTTCTGCTGTTTTAACCCATCTATGCAGTTCCTTGTGTAAAAATGCAATTAAGAAAAAATGTACATTTTATGGCTGCACTTTTTTACTTCAAGCCTGGGGTTGGTGGAGAATGGAGTCCCTAAACCCCGTCAACAACAATGCATTCGTTTTCCCATATGCAACAAAGTAAGTCATTAACTTATATAATTTATTATTATTCATCTCTTCACCAAATATATGATAAAAATAAAATATTTTTCAATTCCTTTAGATACTCCGTGAGGGGTATGGATTACGGCAAGAATCCAAGATTCAATGTCGCTCTATATCGCAATCTATTGGATCACCTTGTCCCGGATGATGTACGTCATACATTTAAACTTTTCTACTTTTAAATTATTTATTTATTACATTTTCATTAAGGTGATTTAATTTTATCTGCAGTTTGTCTGGAGACCATATTTGGGTTTGGACCATGAATCAAACTCCGAGGATGCAGTAATTTGGAGCGCAAAGACTGCAATCATACGGTTCAATGTTATGGAGATGCACTACAATGACTGTGTCAAGATGCAGTTTGGAATGCATCAAGAGATACCCTGCGATCCAACTTGTTTGTCCCCGTGGCATCTCAAAAGGGTCGACGCCCAATGGGGTCTTACCAAATGGAAAGATTTTGCTCCAGAATGGTGTAAGATGTTGCAGAGGCATCACCGACATGTCTTGTAATTCCTATTTTTCCTCAACCATGGTAATATGCGACACACGAATCAATATTTAGCTTGGTACATATCAATTAGTATCCCAGAAATGCACGTGTCTCATCCAAGGTATTTGGTTGAACCACAAACACAATGGGCACAATCCTCATTTCCCCAGCAACAAACCCAACACATATCAACCTCCCACCAACCTCCCCGATAAAACAGAACCACAAACACCCAACCACAATCACCACCACAATACGATTATACCCACATGCCCCATAACCAACCACAATCACCACCTCAATATAAATACCCCCATATGCCTCACACCCAACCATAATTTCAATCATAATACCAATACACCCGCATGCCCCCACACAATTCCAGTCTTCTACATATCCTAATATAGTCCCTTCAACATCTAGCCTTAGCCCTGATCTGAGATTTTCCGAAGATTATGAACCAACCGACCCAACTTACCATCAACCACCACATCACCAAAGCACCCAACATTCCCAATACTAAACACCCTGAGATCCATTTCCTTTCTACCCCACATACTCAGACGACCAGTGCTACAGACCAACCATGGAACCCCATCCACCACCAACACGACTAAACTTTGAGAGTATGGGTAACCGACTGTACCAAAGCGGATCTTCTAGATATGGAGATCTGATCGATTTCATGGATCCGGAATGCATTGACTTTGTTGGGCCATCGATCCTGCCACAACAGGAAACGCGACGACACCCAGCACGGGAAAGGTGGGGACGGGGATGCAGAACCGGGGGTCATTATCGGGTCCCGGGGGTAGGTATGGAAACGGGTCGGGTCGGGTGCGGGTTTCACACTACCCACACCCGCACCCGAAATCATCACCCGAACCCGAACCCGAACCCGAAGGCTATTCGGGTGACAAAATCACACCCGCGCCCGCACCCGTTGGGTTCGGGTTTTTTCACCCAAACCCGAACCCGAAGGCTATTCGGGTGACAAAATCACACCCGCGCCCGCACCCGTTGGGTTCGGGTTTTTTCACCCAAACCCAAACCCGCACCAAAAAAAAAAATTACAATTAAAATAAGGTCTCTTTACATTGTCTTCAAGAAAATGCAATCACAATTATCTTAACATAGTCTTCAACATCTTAACATTACAATTAAAATTAAATTCTACAATCAAATTACAACTTTTCAACAACAACAAGCTAATATATTACAACTTTCTTGTGTAAGATTAGATGTTCCTTCCGGCTTCGGAGTTGTGTTCACTTGATCTATTTTACCTATTACAAAGAAAATATATTTCACATGTTAAGAAACACTAATAGATATTATCATCATAATTTTAAATTGTAATAACAAACATGTGAAACTTAAAACATATAAAACATGTAACTTAATTCTTGGTAATGCTGAACTTTTAAATTGTAATAAGAAGAATCCTTTAGACCACTTCTTGATACATACAGAGATGTAATAGCTTACAACACAGATAACATATCGCTTTTAAATTGTAATAATTTTAACATGCCATATTCTTGATAATTTATCATGTTTGCAACTGGATTACTGGAATAAAACTGCCTATAATAATGTTTGTCTACTAACTTTCAGCATGCTTGCATGTGCGTTAAATATCATGTTTAAAAAAGTAATGTTTAAACACCTTAACATTCATACAAAGTTTAAAAAAGAAATTAAAATGATAAAAACTATTATTGATAAAAGCTATTATTAAAAGTAATGTTTTTACACGAGACAACATGGTTTTGTTTCAAATATGAAGTTATATCTAACATGCCTCAAGCTTTTCTCATCGGTATTGCTCCTGGTTTCAACAATCAATGAGGGTATCTAGACTCTCGTGCTTCACATCATGCGACACCAGATGTGTCTAATCTCTTTTGGGACCATGTTTTTATTATTGCTGCATTTCTCATTAATCGTCTCCCCACCCTTGTTTTGAATAATTTGTCACCTTTCTATGTTTTACTGAACAAGCATCCTGATTATAAAGCTTTAAAAATCTTTGGTTGTGCTTGTTTCAATTTCCTACAACTTTATCATGGCACTAAACTAGCCTATAGGTCCCAAGAATGTGTGTTTCTTGGTTATTTTGCCTCCTATAAGGGCTATCAATGTCTTATTCCTAGTGGTCATATTTACATTTCAAACGCGCGAGCATATATGATGAGCATATATGATGAGCAACTTAAACAAGAAAGCAAATATGCTACCAGTGGTTTAACTTATCAAAACATGCAAGGCGCGAGCATATATGATGAGCAACTTAAACAGAGTGCTTCAGAATCTGAAGAACTTTAATAACATAAACTCCATTCTATTCTATCTCAACCAATTAGTCATATAACGAATTTAATATGTCAAATATACCATGCAAAGCAACATTAAAAGATCTGTACATTCATGCATAAGATAGATATAAAGAGATTCTTCATAAACCTTACCGAAATGTCACTTGTTGGAGTATCAGGCTGCTCCTGAAACACAATCAACAGTTCTGTCAGCCTAAATATTAGAAATGGTGTTAGAAAGTGGCCTAAGAGTTATATACATAGTTTATATATTGCTTGTAAATGGTGCTAGAAGGAGGCGTAAGAGTTATCATAGTTCATGCATTGCTTGTAAATGGTTCTAGAAGGAGGCCTAAGATTTATCATAATTGATGCATTGCTGTGAGTCGAGCTTTGAGTAATTTATTAGCATCGAATAGGTGCTTTGTAAGGACAAAATTGTAAGACTCACATAGCACTCCAAATTGATTAGTCCCTTCTAAGAAATCTCAAATAACAGTAGCAAGTAAAATAGATGAAAAGCAACAAAGTACTAGTAGTACATAAAACATATTCTCATTCTAATAATAATAACTTGAAATACAAGTAATAGAATTAAATTACATGAATAATGTAACATATATAAAACCTAAGCCGAAGTCATTCGTTCTCCTTAGCCAAGCAAGTAAAAAAGCCAGTTGACTAAGTCAAGTTTCCTGTGATAAACTATTCCCCAAAAGACTAGGTATGTAGGATTTCACCTACCTAAAACATTGGGTAGATATATAAATAATGATTGGTTTATAGCAAGAGTATGAGAACAAGTTCAATACAAAAGATGTTAATATTACTTGTTTATTATGGTTTCTTGTTTCTGAATTATGTTAATAGAAATGCTGTCGCTATTGAATGCTTAGCTTCTGATCAAGAAGCTCTTCTAGACTTCAAAAATGGGCTTCAGTATTCTCACAACCGCCTCTCTTCATGGAGAAACACCAACTGTTGTCAATGGCAAGGAATACGCTGTGACAACGTCACATGTGCTGTCGTTGCAGTCGATCTCCATAACCCATCTCACGTGGAATTCTGAAACATAAGTGGTGAGCTGAGACCATCTTTGATGAAGCTCAAGTCACTAAGTCATTTAGACTTGAGCTTCAACACGTTCAGTGGAATACCAATTCCCAAGTTTTTAGGATCACTGATGCATTTGCAATATCTGAACCCGTCAAAGGCTGGCTTTGCTGGTTTAATTCCACCTCATCTGGGAAACCTTTCTCACCTGCAGTCTCTCGGTCTCGCTGATTATAGCCTGCATGTTGAAAATCTAGAATGGGTGGCTGGCCTCGTATCTTTGAAACATTTTAGAATGGATGGAGTCGACCTTTCATCCGTAGCGACAACAGATTGGGTTAGTGCATTAAACCAGCTACCTTCTTTAATGAAATTGCATCTATCTTCTTGCCAACTTTTCGGACAAATTCCATCTCCTCCATCTCTCAATTTAACTTCACTTTCTGTCATAGATCTTAGTTTTAATAAATTTTCTTCTATGATTCCTGATTGGCTAGTTAATATTAACACCTTACAACATGTTGACATAAACAATAATGATCTGCATGGAAAAATACCACTTGGCTTAAGAGACCTACCAAACTTGCAGTATTTGAATTTAGGGAACAATGAAAATCTCAAAGCAAGTTGTTCTCAACTCCTGATGAAAGGATGGGAAAGGATACAAGTACTTGATTTATCGATTAATAAATTACACGAGAGACTTCCTTCATCCATTGGAAACTTGACCTATCTTACTTACTTGGATCTTCATGATAATGCTATTGAGGGTGGTATTCCTAGTTCCATTGGTCAACTCTGCAACTTGAATATTATCGATTTATCAAGAAACAAGATGACAAGAACTCTACCTGAATTTCTTCTAGGAATACAAAATTGTCCTTCCAGAAAACCTCTTCCTAATCTTGTGTATTTTATCATGAGCTACAATCAACTTCATGGTAAAATTCCAGACTGGTTAGTTCAATTAGAAAGTCTAGCCGGTATAGACCTTGCACGTAACCAGCTTGAAGGTCCCATTCCTTTTTCCTTAGGGTCATTGCAAAATCTTATAACCTTGATACTTGAAAGGAATCAATTAAATGGTACTCTCCCAAAGAGCTTAGGACAACTTTCAAAGTTATCACGCTTAGATGTTTCTTCCAATCAATTGACAGGCATGGTGACTGAAGATCATTTTTCTAAGCTAAGTAAGTTGAATTTCAATTATGTTATGGTCAAGAACTATGCTACCAATTCACTCATACCATTAGTACCTACATGAAAATATAACATAGCAGTAACATAACAATGTCATCAATCCTTCTAAATTTCAAAACACAATTATCTTCAACAATAACCCAAGAACAAAAAATCAACTTCTCCCTTAAATTAACAATATCATCACCAACACTTCCACAAATCACAACAACAATTTCACCTTATCAACAAAACAATCTAACAAAATCAATTTGAATACTAATCAACCATAATCACCAATATCTCAACAATAATATCCATTAGCTACAACATTTAAAACCAAAACAAAATCAATTTCTCATTACCATTATAGAATCACAAGCCAGGAAGAAAAATAGTGAGAGTATTTTACCAACAATGATGGCGGTGCTGAGTCGAATCAGAAGTAGTGGCGGATTGTGCGAGCTGGTTTCTGTTGCGCGGATGATGATGTTGACAGAAGAGAGGAAGCCGGAATGGAAGGAAGGGTTTACGGTGGAGGGAGGCTGGTTCGCGAGACTTGGTTGTTGGAAGGTTTCGGTGTTACTTAGTTGTTCGACGAGGGAGTATGTCGCGGGTAGGCGGATGGGAGTGAGGGATTGGAAGGTGGCGAGGATGATGGTAGGTAGCAGGGAGATTGAGTGGCTAGCTGGAGAAGGAGAGTTCAGAGGAAGATGTGATATACTGAACAATAAAGTGCCCTACATTTTATTTTTAATTATTGAAATATATATATATTTAGGGATAGTTTTGTAATTTAACATATAAGCGAGTGTGGTTTCGGGTTTCGGGTGCGGGTTTAAGCTATCCCAAACCCACACTCGAAATATCTGGTGGCACCCGAACCCGAACCCAAACCCAGTCAATTCGGGTTTCACCCGTTGACTCGGGTGCGGGTGCGGGTGGGGCCCGCGGGTTTGGGTCTGCTTGCCATCCCTACCCGGGGGACCACTGATTAATTTATATTTTTTTATATAATCGTTTTGTGTAATCATATTATGTAAATAAAAAGTCAATTTTCTTGATCATATATCGTTTACGTAACGTACCGCATTTAAAATAAAAAACGCGAAAAATTGTCTGTCATTTGCACTAAAGCGCCGTCTCACTTGACTTAGGACAAGTCTTTCACACATAGGTGTCAAGTGAGATGACGTCTCCCCTTTAAAATAAGGTGCATGCACCAACTGGATTAGCTCCTCTCTTATAAAATTATCTGAAACATGGTTATTTACGTAATTTTCTCCGAAACATAATTATTTACTATATTTTTTTTAATATCTGATTATTAAAAAAAAATTCCACTTTGACTTGCAATTTTTAAGAAGATAAGAGCAATATAATTTTCATTAATGAAGACAAGTGGGTAAAAATCTATTGTTTTAAGTCAAATCCAGCTAAGCCAAGGTATCCTGGTATATCTGTACCATGTTTAAAAAATTTGACTCTCAAACTCTCAAATATGCTCAAAACAAAAATCTATCTCAATTATTACATTTTGTTTCAAAGAGGTTAAATAAAATAATGAAGTCAAGTATACAAAGGAATATACAAAGGTGGAGCCAGATCGACTTATAAGGGGCCATGATGAGCACGATATTTAGTATTTTGAATTAATGATAGTGCAATCACCCAAAATCCTGGACCAGGGTTCAGACTTTTATATCCATATTCTTTCTAATTCTATTTATCAAAGACAAATTATTTTTCAGATTCGCTAAATAAATATTATATTCAATCTATTAATAATTGAATAAATTTAAAAAGTATTTTTCTCTTATAAGTAGAATTGGAGAAAGTAATAAATAACTATTATTTAACCTCTTTGAAACAAAATGTAATAATTGAGATAGATTTTTGTTTTGAGCATATTTGAGAGTTTGAGAGTCAAATTTTTTAAACATGGTACAGATATACCAGGATACCTTGGCTTAGCTGGATTTGACTTAAAACAATAGATTTTTACCCACTTGTCTTCAATAATGAAAATTATATTGCTCTTATCTTCTTAAAAATTGCAAGTCAATGTGGCATAATAAGTTCAAAATATTTTTTTTATGTAGGTGCAGTTAGCCATTCGCTGTATTATACATTGCTGGAATCATCCTCAATTAAAAATAAGAATCATTATAAGTTTTTTCACATATATTATGAAGGAAAAAAAAAGAATAATCTAATTTTATAAAATCATTTTTATCAACTACTTTTTCCATTTTTTATAAGACATACATTGATTTAAAAAATAAAGATTAATAATTATTTTGTCTTATGTCATTTGAACAAATTTCTGTAAAAAATAATTTAGATTTGTTCTCTATTTTATGAAGATTATTTTGTTTTATCCTCTTATTAAATTCATGGTTGGGAATGATGTATTTGTCGTTTTGACAAAGTACGTCGATTGTTTGTAGTCTTAGTTGTAATATTGTTTCAGCTTTTCAGCGTTTCATGGTCGAGTAAGTTATTTCCTATATAGGCTTTCGAGATAGTATGCCCCATTTCCGTTTTTGCTTGGATGCGAAAATATCTCTTGGATGATAGACTTGTTCCACCATTCTTCTTCATGCTTGCGAGCTTAAACATGATGTCTTCTCGGGTGTTGCGTTCGCAGGAAACATATGCTTGCTAGGCTGGTGTGTTCGCGGAGAACGTATGCCTGCTAGGCTGGCGTGTTCGCGGGAAACATATGCTTGCTCGGTTGGTGTGTTCGCGGGGAACATATGCTTGCTAGGCTGGTGTGTTCGCGGGGAACGTGTGTCTGCTCGACTGTTGTGTTCGCGGGGAACATATGCCTGCTAGGCTGATGTGTTCGCGGAGAACGTGTGTTTGCTTGACTGTTGTGTTTGCGGGAAACGTATGCCAGCTCGACTGTCGTGTTCGTGGAAATGGTTCATTTATGCGCTCCACTCGTCGGGAAGGCTCCTGAGGTCATTTCTACTGCAATGTCGAGCATTATTAGAGGTCACTTTCTCCTCGTACTAAATGTATACATGAGTTTTGAGGAGGAGGGCGTCTAGTGTGGCTGGTGTTTTTATGCCAAATACTTTGGAAAAATTGATGCAGGGGCGCAACCCTCGCTTGAGCAAGTACTTTTTCATATCGTCAGTCGTAGAGACCTGAACGGCTTCTTTGATGAACCTCTCGATGTATGCTCAGAAGGATTCTTTTTTTCCTTGTATGATCAGTTCTAGCGAGACCTCTATATTTGGATGACGATGAGAGACAGTGAAGTGCCTTGAGAGTATATTTCCCAACTGCTTCCATGAGGTGATGAACTTGTTAGGGAGGATTTTGTACCAAGACATTGTCCCTTTTCTCATAGTTGTTAGGAACAATTTGCACTTGATGGCGCCCCCGATGCTATGGTAGTCGAGCAGGGCATCAATGTTCTCGATGTGCTCGTCAGAATCAGTTGTTCCGTCATATGTTCCTAGATTTGGTGGCTTTTCTAGTCTGACGGGGAGGAGCATCCATGATAGCCTGAGAAAATGAACTACGAAGGTCTTCCTCGTCGCTCCATCCCGATGATGGTGGTGGAGAATAGTTATGCTTCCCTCACCGGGGACAATTGTCTCGTCGAGGAGATGGACTTCTTGATCTTTCCTTTGGTTTCTTGGCCACCGGGCAGAGTTGGTCTCTCTGACGAGGAGTGTGATCACGTTTCTTGATGGCCAAGAGACAAACTCTTTCTTTCTTCCGGCAGTGATCATGTCGTCGGAGAGACATGTTATGTGATCTTTGTCGTTGGTGCCTACGTAGGGAAGACTTTGATCAGTGAGCATTTTCCAACACCCCAATCCTCTCGTTTTATTGGCGGATTACAGAGTTGGTCTGGTTAAGAGCTGCGAGCAGAGCAGCCATAACAGGGTCAGTGTTTGGCGGAGCAGGGATTGTCTGTGTGTTCTCCGGTGCTCCTTCTCGAGCCTTCTTAATCTTGTGAGCTTCGATGTCGATGTATTAAGCCTTGTTAAAGGATTGGGAGGCGCTGCGACCGTCCCTCAATGGCATGGCATCTTCAAGATAGGGCATGCCGCCACAGTCCTTTGTCTTGCGGACATGGGAGATGATGGGTTTGTGAGAATTGTCGTCATCATGACTGGCTATGATCAGAACATTGAATATATGATTTGATCTTTGGTTTTTGGAGAAAGAGAGATGGGGAAAGAAGATTTCCCACACATGGCGCCACTGATCTTACCGGTTGATAAGAACTTGAAATGAGCTAGAGACTTCGACTTCAATGCTGGAATAGAGGAGGAGGGGGTATATCTACAAGGCACTTCGATGCTAAAGTCAGTAGGAGCACAAAGAGATACAAGAAAGAGATTAAAGTTATTAGAATGAATATTGGATACCTGATCCTCACAAGTGTGAGGGTTTATATAGTGCCCTCGACGCTTGGCCATTGGTTCCTATTTTTGGGCCTAGATATTAGGTTCCTTAAAATGAGGTAACTGCCAGGAATTGGTCATGTCGGTAAGAGATGCTCGAAACTTGTCATTATGACGAGCAGAGAGGTGCTCATGGGCAAAGATGATTCTGGTAATTCTTGGGTGACTGTCTTCGTGTGGCTGGCAGGATGAGAACTAACATGTTTGAGCGAGCAGAGGTGGTCTCGTTGATCCCGGGGATCAACCGACCACGACTCCTCGTCTGATGGGCATAGGCAAGTGTGTTGTGGGAGTTCCTGGATGATTTCTCTACACGTGGCGAGCAGAATGAGAAGTAGCTGCTGACGCAGGAAGAGGTGCAGTTTAGGGCAATAGTGATCTTGTTGGTCCTGGGGGACAACCGACTACGTATCTCTGGATGAGGGGCGGAAGGGAAAAAATGTCATTTACCTCACTACAAGAAAACATTAAATTAGCCAGGTGATTATGCCAGGTGTTATTCATGTAGCTAAATAACGCACTTGCGAGGTGATATTCACCCTGCAACACTGTTTTTTTTTTAATTGTAAGGTTTTTCCTCTCGCAACAGATGGGGGGAATTTAAAATATTTAAAAAGAAAGTTGCGAAGTGATAAACATCCCGCAAATTTTAAAA